AATATTTTAGTTTAACATCTATTAATTGTCATTCCAACTGCTTCAAAATTACTCACTAAAAACAGACCTGATTTAAATGGCTTAATCTTCCAATCAGTGGTCAAGCTGAAAGCTATCTAATTTCAATCACCTACCAGTGGTTTCCCAATTGTAATGCTTTATCTAAAGCTATATATTTATTTACAAAATAAAAAAAGACAGGTTTGTAAATTTGTAGCATTTATGTCAGGTGATAAATCTTTCAAAAATGCACAATGTTCAAGTTTCTACTGAAGTGCAGTTCTTTTTTATACACCACTGACCAGCCAAGTAGCTGACTACACTCTGTGGATGTGTTCCATGTGCTTGTAAATGTGACAACCAATAACTTCTGAAGCAATACAAAAGGAGCACGATTGAGAAGCATGTTAGTTTTAGCTACTTTCTCACTAGCTCTGTTGTAAGGTCCCTGTACATAAGTTACATTTATTGGTGTGCACACCAAGTTAAGAGGTTGTGTCTATCTGAGATGAGAGCAGAAACATGTCTTCACCTTTTCAGTAATGATGGTTGTAAAACAATTTTTCTGCAATAAAAAATATGTTGAGTTGTATTACAAAGTCCAATAAGATAATTATTACATTTATTAGGTATACCAAGTCATTTCTGTCTGCAGCGGTGAATGCAATGATGGGGCTGAAATGACTGATCATAAGGAGAAGTCCAAACACATCAGTATCTACTCTTAACCAGAAGCAGCATAGTATTAACATTCCTCAGCTGACCAAGGTCTCAATTCAAGAGCCAACATGTCTGGTTCTGGTTAATGGCTCATGTTATAATTACTTTGTGTGCGTGTGTGTGCACATGTGCGTTTTAAACTAGAAAGTTAAGCAAGCATTTTTTTCCATACATTAAATGCAAGAGAATTTGTGTTGCAATAAATGTAAACATATTTTAAAATCTCGAGGCCTAATCATAAGGGTTGGGAATCTTTTACTCTCTCACAATTCGATTCGATTCTGATTTTTGGGGCCACGATTCGATTCAAAATCTATTTTTCATTCAAGCTTGATAATGTGAGCCCATTTGTCGTGTTCCCAAAGTGCTTCATCTCCATTTTGCAGACCTCGTGCACCTCGCTCATGTCAAACTCACTCATTCTGTAAAAATGCTCTCTTTCCTCCAGTTTTGTAGTTTCCTCTTTGTTTTGATGCTTTCTGCACATTCATGTTCCAGAACCAGCTGTGTGACGACGTCAGGACGTCCCATGTAGTTACAAAATGGAGGCTGACAGCTAGTGAATTTGCTTTATTTATTTATTTTTTTATTTATAAAATTCAGTTTCGGGAAATTTTAAATCGATTCTGAATCTCTGTAAATGAGAATCACGATTCTGATGTAAAACGATTTTTTTGGTGCACCCCTGAAATTAAACAACTGTCAAATTCCAAAAGCAGCTGGATTTTATATTTGATGGGCAAATATTAAAAGGCTAACTTCAAAGTTACTGCTTGAGATAAAATAATCAATACCTCTGATTAGCTGTTGTTTTTTATTCACATTTAGAACAGACTAATTAGAAAAGGTCAATGGACAATAAAAATCAAAATAAAGTGAAGAAATATAAAATGTGGGATCAACAGTTTTCTTAGCAGTGCTGAGTCAATGACAACCTGTCTGCTCCACTTATGAAGATGTTAGAGTAGCTGTTTTTTTATATGATACACAGAAACAACACTCATTGAATCTTAGTGCTTAATTTCATTAATGAAACATGACAAGTGTGTGATGAGTGTCTTATACCAGCCACAAAAACTAATGTATGCAGTAACATAAAAATGTTTTTATAATTGTTTTGACATCATTGATGGTCTGAACTGACTGCATAACAATAGCTATAGTAGTCAAAGATGCATATAATTTTTGGATATTGGTTTGCAGTTATTTTGCCATTGTTTCAAAGAATTTGACATTATTATAAATATAAATGCACACAAATAAAATTTAAGTTTATATTTTTCTCCTTGAACATGAGCGACAGTGAAAATGATAGTTTTCATCTAAACATTGTGGCATCCATTTGATTCTTGTTTTGAGATCGTACTGATACCCAGTTCATTATTAAATGTTGCAGAAACAAAAAAGTGTTAGAGCAGAAGAGTGACTGGAGCAAGAAAACAGAGATTTGATTTTTTTCTGGATGGTAGTACTCTGGGACTAGACCTTTGTTCTTTGTTAAAGTCAGAACACCTTGACCTCTGCTCACCCATAACAGAGTGCCCCTCAGTAAATTGTTCGTGTGTATGTGTGTTTAGATGTGCATGTGATTTGTCAATAAACACGTTAGTATTCTCCTAACATTTCCAAGTCCAGTGAACCTTCGGCTACTCGCAGCAGTTCTCCTGATACGAGTGTGCAGTCAGGTGTTGTGATGTGCTTTGCCATTTAAAATGAGAGCTCTGGTTTAAAATTAGTCCTTTGTGCCCATCATTTATTTTTTTATTTTGTTTGTTAACTAAAATTTAAGCCAAATTCAGAACTAGGATATTTGTCTGTTTGTCGAGTCACAGCATTCAGGTGTATACCAGGTGTATACTGTATTAATGTAATTCAGAAAAGGAAATATACAGTATCCACAGTGATTTTAGAGAAGTTACTGATGCTAGTGATGGCCCTTCAGCAATTTCTAAACAATTATTCTGCTGTTAGAAAGATTATTCACAACTGAAAAAACATTTAGGAGAATTGCCAAACGTCCCTGAAGTTTACGTCATAGTAACTTCACTCTAATGTTGGGCAGTGTAATAATAATAGAAACTGAGAAATTATAAACAAAATAAGAGCTACCKCTCAGATGTGTTAAATATCAATATACATGAATAATATACAATTAGAAAAATAAACAAGGATTGGCTTTTTAGGGGCTGCTACATCCACAACACCAAAGTGTGGCATTTATGTGAAATACTTATTCTTTAGTGAGAACCAAACCCAACATATCAGCACAAACATCTCATACCAACTATCATGCACGGCGGTGGAGGACTAATGAATCAGGTTTGTTTTGCAGCCATAGAACCAGGATACCTTTCTATCATTTAGTTGATTGTAAACTGCACTGAGTCAGAGAAGAGGCTGTCAGTCTGGCAGCTTTAACATGTGAAATTATTTCATCACAAAATAAAACAATAATTCCCATTCTAACAGCAAATCTACTGAAAACAAAAAGAAGACCTGTTACATAAAACTTAGAAAAAAAGAGATGTATGGGAGCATATCAACTTGATCATGTATTTTAATAAACTGCTAATAAATGCTAGTTAACTGTTCCTTTTTATGGTTTTGAGCATTAACATGTTTTGGATTATGGCATTCAAACACAGGTTAAAAACAAGGACTGTAAACTGACTTAACAACTGGTTATCTCTATATAAGTTAAAGTTGTTTTTATTTTTTGTCAGGTTAACACTGTTGATTTTAGGGCAATAGAGTAGAGAAAATGGCATGTTTGTGGTTTTTTTTCTCACAAGCATGAGTACCTGTGACTATACATGTAAAGTGTAAATTATTCCCAGTCATAATCATTTATAATGGTTAAAGTATAACAGAGGTGCTCAAGTTGTGTGCAAAGGTCTAAAGACCTTTAGGTGCACTAAGATATATAAGATCTTTATGTTCACGTGGTCTATCTGATGTAAGCTTTATCACAGGCCATAAATAATGCCATTTCATAGTAAAATATATATATTTGAAAGGTTTTTTAATTGTCAGTGAAAACATTTCTCTTATGCTTGAAAATTTGATAACTTATCTGTTTAAAAAACTTTTTTTCCAATGGTGAATATTTTTGATAAAGTGAGAGGAAAACATCTAAATGTGACTATTTCAAAAATACGTAAGTGTTTTCATTAAGCAGCTCACATGAGAGAGCCTGTGAATGTGTTCAAACAGTTTTCTCATTGTGGTTCAGAAGACTTCATGCATTCAGCCAGTAACCCTGAAACCCCATTTGCAGTGGGTTTGCAGGTTGATGGCTGATAAGTATTTGTTTAGGAAGCATGAACGTTGACAGCCGTTACACACATGAGAGTGAGCGGGTGAAAAGGACTCTCTCTGAGAGGCCTTGACAACCTTTGCCCTCCTGGCTCTCATTTCAGACCCTGTAATTGCCACTGACCAATGGGCTCCTGGTTGAAACTAGACCCTGTGCTGCAGCTATTAACGTCTCTCTCCAAAAGGATCTTGTTTTGATTCCTGATGCTTTTATAGGTTTTGTCTTTAGGAGACATTCCTGGTCGGCACATACCATGCACTCCTTTCTGCCCTTATTTTCCTTCCTTCCCGTCTTGTGGGGCCATTGCCCCCACTCTTCCTACACTCACAAACATACACACATTTGTGATTAGCTTCTGCACATATTTGTGTGTATGTGTGTGTCTGCATGCTCATACAGATGCACACCACAGCAACTGACCAGCCTGCCCTTCTCTGGCCCCTCCTGACAGCCAGCTCCACTCCATGAACTTGGCCACCCGTCACAGCTGCGCTAAGATTGAAGGATGGGGGGGCCCGTGTATCCAGCTGGGTCGGAAGACATGGGTGGGGGGCAGGGCAGGGCAGACCCAGATGCAGATGGTTTAGGTCAAATGGAGATGTTTGAGGATGAAGGGGGAGGGGGATTTACGAGATCAGGGGCACAATAATTCCAGAAGTTACTCTTCCAACTCCTGCTAAACACATCAGCACAAACATCCTGCATCGTACCTGCTGAGGTCTTTGTAGACAACAATCACGTGAATAAATGAATATTTTCTTGAATTTCATCTTCATAGCTTATTCTTAAAAACTATAAATTAGCTTCTGTTACTTGAATTGGTCAACTAAATGATTTTTTTGTACAGTTGTTTTGAGCCATGTTCGTTTTATTGTTTGTTTTTCCCATCTGCACATTCTTCTTTTTCATGTCTCTACGTTTATTACAGAAAGATTGGTGTTTGTTTCTGCTTTCTGATGATATTTATGTTTCATGTCATGTAGAATGGCAGCACTGGATGGACAGATGAGGCTGACAGTAGCAGAGGAAGAGGCGAGGCCTCCAGAGACTTTGCTAAGGTGAGATCTTAAAACTTAAAATCTTTTAATGCAAGTTAAATGAGTAAAAAAAGACTGTTATAATTAGTATTATTTTTTAGTGGTTAATTGTTTTTTGCTGCCTATATCAGTCCACAGTCTTATGTCAAAGAGGTCATAATTAGTAAATAATAAGACAATTTGGATGAAAAATGACATTGTTCAGTAAACAAAGCTGTTCTGTTTCCAGTGAGAAGTAAATTGCACAGAAAGGATTATGCATTCAGAACAAACCTTGAAGCCTAACAGGTTTCTGTATTTTCCTACAGCTGTACGAGTTGGACAGTGATCCCAAAAGGAAAGAATTTTTAGATGATCTTTTTACCTTCATGCAGAAACGAGGTATGTACACCCTCCAGGGATTAACAGCACATTAAACAAAAAAAAACTTTTACTCCTCATTGTATAGCTCTACATAAAACCATTTAGTACACGCTGAAAAAAAAACATTCATTTGCACTTTCACATATGTGGTAACTTTTTTGTTAAATAGACAAAATATCTGACAATGAACAGCTTGAAGAACTGCATCACAAATGAGTGAAAATTCAACCATGTCGCAAAGAAGAACTTTAAAAGACCTTCAGAAAGCCCGAAGAAGTATTGATCCAGATCCTTTTAAAAGTTTGTAAGAAAGTCTGGCACTTTGGTAGCAAAAAAAGGGGAAATTCTCTTGCGTATAATACTTGCACAAACTATTTCTTAGAGAATGTTGAAATGTGTTTTAAGTGTGCTTTGTCTTTGGGCTCCTCATTCATAGGTTTGGTAAAAGCAAACACCACATGACTTCCTTTTCTTAAAACTCATTTCCTGGCTTAGACTAAGAAGGGGGTTCCTACTTCTTTTTTTTTTAATTCCACTGTAAACAATCAATGTTAGGTCTGCAGCACAATTTGACTGGTCATACAACACTGCAGATCACTGAAGATAACTCTAGTTCTTTTCTGCACAAGTTTAGTGTCAAAATGTTTGTCTTTGACTATTGTTTGTTTTCTGCATGAGAAGAGTGCAATGTCAATGATCTACTCCAAAATCATCCTATAACTCATACTACACAAGTTAAGAAATCCTTTACTAAATCCGCTCCCCTCCCTGGAGTAAAGGCCTTAAGGTGTCAGCAGGTGAGATTTGCCTCTGTTGATCCTCTATTAATGGAGCCAAGTAGTCGTGGCAGTGGCCTAACTTATTAAGTTGGCTATAAGGTTGGCAGTGAAGCTCAGGTCACCTTGTACTGCTTTCACACAGTCTGTTGGACTCTTCAGACTCATTTATCATACAAACCTGTAGCCAAATAAGATTTAAGCAACACCTCTTAAAGTGAATGAGTGTCAGTGGAGTAAAACCAAATGAATTCCAAATCACTGACTGCATTCGCTTTGGCTTTAATGCTTCCCAAGCTGCGCATGCTGTAAAAGAAAATAAACTATCCCACATGTATTTTTCCATGTGTTAAATAATGGTTTTAGACATTTGAAATATTGATTTACTATTTTATATACAGAATCAGTGTCTGAGAAGCACACATCAGGAGTAAAAATTCCTTATAATTACAGTAAGTATAAATATTACTAAATCTATAGGTGACCCATTCCTTTGTGCTACCTGAAGTATTCTTACAAAATGGCAAAATGCACCTTAGAAATTGTGCTGAAAGATTTTGAATACAAAAATATCTAAGAGCTCTTGTATATATACTGTATATATATATATATATAATTTTATTAATTCATTGAAACAAAAAAACCTTTATACAATAAAAAACAAAACAAAATTTATAAATGAACTGAAAGGTTGCAGAATGAAGAAAAAAGATCGTAAAACATCTGCCCCTTTATTTCTAAAATAAAATCAAATAATATTAATACAGGCRTTTTACAGACTCAGACTTTAAAACAAAAACAGCATCAGCTCAATGTTTGAACCACAGTTTATGTTAATACATGTTACTATTTAATAAACAGCCTGGTTTCATTTTAACAAGCTGTTAAAATAATGCAATGAAACTTAACACTATACCCACGTGGTATTGCTACACACACGTTTTACTCACCAAGTTGTTTTCATCAGCTTTGCTTCTGCTAGTGTGCAGATAAAGCTGTTTTGCCACAGAAAAATAATTTCAACATCTTTAATAACACTGATTCCTTTTTCTTTAGTTAGAAAAAGTACCGAAACATTTTCATCATCTTCATCGGCAACATTAATGTGATTCTTTTTTTTTCTCCCTACCTCATTCAGGAGCTGCCTTTCATCCCTGCTGTTTTGGCTAGTTAAATAGCAGTACACATTCACCGTGTTTGTTCCGTCTGCACAAATCAACATCCAAGTCACGAATTCAGCTTTAAGAAAACATTAAGGAAATTAGGCAACATTAAAGAAATCTCACAGAGCAGTAGTGATTTGCTTTGAAAATTTTCACCTTTTTAATGCAAACTCTCATTCACTGTATTAACAAGTCTGCTGTGCGTTGGAAGTTTCAAGTTTCTTGTGCCGTCGTTTGTAAAATCCAACATGGATTTGCCAAATCAGCTGGCCTTGTGTGCTTGTGTAGCTGGAGATACTCCATCATAACCTTGTAACAGTTGAAATTACCTACTCTTGTATAATTACAGCTCTAAACATATTATTGCTAGATCCTTTCCTTTACTTATTCAAACTAATGAGTGTTTTTGTAGGTACTTATCAGAAATAAAGTAAAAAAATTCTTAATGGTCTCTTTGAAATAAGATCTTTAAAAWCAACTTTATGCTGAAAAGTGTCTTTGATGTCTAACTTGGATATATAAAAGTGGCATCTGAGTGTCTGCTCTGGTCTTAGCACTTGGAGGTCTTGTTTAGACGGTAATGAATTAAGCAGAGTAAGTGGAGGAGGGACATCCTCTGTCAGGCCCCTGTTAGCATCTGTGTTCTGTGGCAGACACTGGGAGTAGATGGTTGACCCTTTACTCAAACTGGTCAGATAAAGGAATCCATCAAGCTGACTAAAAAGGCTACTAGAAACAGATAATTGACTGGGAATCATTTACCATGTCTCACTGCTCTCACAAAATTACATAAAAATAAAAAACAATGTGCGCAAAATTAAAAAAGTCATTAAAAGTACAACGAAGAATCACTAAAATCACTAAAATGGAGCAAGATAAATCAGCTGAATGCAGCACAATAAAACAAAAATCAAAATGCTGATCCACAATCTACAACTTCAGCTTCACGGGATGTGGAGCTGAGTTACATTTACAGAGAGTGTTACAGTGAGCGTAAGTGGATTCAGCTTGCATGGATCGAGTTCCTGTGTCATCTTGTACAAATGTCAAGTAGTGAAGCAGTGCAAGGGTCAGTTCTGGACAACTGTTGTAACAAACATTACGGTTTCTAAAGAGTTCACCAGTAAAAGATACATGTAAGAAAAAAATAGGATGAGAAAATTATATTTCTATTTTAGTTTGGGAAGTTGGGAAAAGTCTCARAGTTCAACAGAGGAGGGTATAATTTCAGCCACTCAAAGATAGGTTTTTCCACTTCTCGCTTAAATGACAAGAGGTACTTGGCTGACCTCTGCTGTCTCTCAGACCAGAACCTTAACCACAGGGATTTGTTTGGTTGGATCCCCCTTTTTTTTTCAAGCTTAAATCTCACAGCATTTATTTTACTTCATTGTTTTATGTAGATATGAGGTAAAAATGTTTGTCTTTTAAATAAAGGTGACTTGGAAGGATACTTTTTGTTTTGTCACTCTCAGTTTTTTTAAAGAAAGGATTTGAGCAAATGGTGCACAACGCCAATACATGAATTACCCAGTTTTACACCTAAGTAGGTCTGCAGCCATTCTCCATGCAAAAAACAAAACAAAACAATAAAGATGAGCTCTCTTTAAATCTCTATTTATTATTTCACACTGTTTTTGACCACAACTGATTAGCATAGATGTTCAAGAGACATTGGCACATTAATACATTTTGTTGAATACTACTTCTTGATGGACTCCAGAGCTCTATTTAAGTTTCCTCCAAGACTGCAGTGACTGGAAGTTCAAATGGGCCATTGTTCACTACAAAGTGTTTATGTGAACTAGGAAGACCTTGCACAATATGTCTGAATTTTTAGAATATTTGTTTCAAATCATACAAATGCACTTTGCCRTGGAATACAGATCTGCTATTATGATTGTGAGGGGGAAAAATGCACAGCAGCAATAAAAACACTTTTGAACAAAGAGACTCAGATTTTGCAAATTGACTGATACTGTATATGCATTTCCAGAGATAGTACTCACCATCACTTAATTATGCTTCAGTAAGTCTTTCATGTGTCTTGTTAATCACTGCCAAATTGTGTAAAAAATGAATGAAATAATAACTAAAAATAAAGAAAAATGTTAGCATTTACTGCTTTCCTTGTTGAAAACTACTGAAGAACCAGGCAATTATCTCTGATCATGCGGTCTCTTGTCCAATTGACACATGCACGTGAGGAGTAATATATTGGAATGCTTAGAAATACAATTTTAACTTGCGAAGCAGATTGTGAGACTGAGTTGAATCCGTTGGGATCTTTAGGCAGGGGAGACAAATGGTGAGGTGCTTTTCCCACCTTGGCAAAGGGCCTCTAAGTCTTGAAAGGAAAGCAACAGCGGAAGGAAAACTTACGAGGGATTCCCATTTCCTGCTTCTGTGCATAAAAACATGCCTGTGTGTGCAAGTTAATGGTTTGGGAATTCCAGCAGCTGTCCTAAATTGTGTCTGTGAGTTAAAAAAAAAGGCCCATTGACTCGGACTCTGCATTATAGAAAAAGCCAGAAGACCCTCATGCAGTGGTTTAACCTTACCATTCAGCTTTTTGTGTTTATCGTTGTGCTATTTGTTGCTTTTAATTTAAGAAAAGGAATGTCAGCTTTAWTCAACCAGAAAACTTCGAGTATATACAGTATTGATCCTTTGTTGCAAAATAAAWTTTAGCTAATAGCTAAGAAAACATTAGGCCTGCTCACATTGGAAGAGTGAACATAATCTTGATGTGTTACAGCAACGGTTTATCACATCCTTTTCAGGTTTTCTTGTCTCACTCACAAGCTCTTTAAGAAATAAAAGCCTCCAAGTGGTTTCACGTTAATAACCACCCTAAACGTTTTGATTAAGCAAAARGGATTGTTGTCATGGTTGGATACCCAGTTGCTTTGTTATTGAGGAGGAGGATTACAGGAGAGAAGTGTCCCTGTGAAGGAAAGGGTGGTGTGAATGAGGCTGCTGGATCTACGGGTGCATGATGAAGGATAAAAAGGGGAAGAAAATAAGACTGATGCAGCCAACTGCCTGTCAGCTCTGTCCACTTTGGATGATTAATGGC